TCATCATCATCATCATCATCATCATCATCATCATCATCGGCAGCATCATCATCAGCATCAGCATCAGCATCAGCATCAGCATCATCATCGTCAGCATCGGCATCAGTTTCATCATTAGCATCATCAGCATCATCAGCATCAGCACCAGCATCACCATTATCAGCATCATCATCATCACAATCAGCATCATCATCAGCAGCAGCATCATCATCATCATCGTCATCATCGCCATCATCATCAGCATAATCAGCATCATCATCATGACCAGCATCATCCGCATCAGCATCATCATCAGCATCAGCATCATCCTCATTAGTATCCTCATCAGTATCATCATCAGCATCATCATCTTCATCGTTATCCTCATCAGGATCATCAGCATCATCAGCATCAGCATCATCAGTATCAGCATCAGCATTGGCATTAGCATCAGCAACCTCATTATCATCAGCATCATCATCATCATAACCACTATCATACTCATCAGCAGTATGGGCATCATCCTAATCATCATCAACAGCATCTTCGTCAGCATCAGCATCATCATCATCCTCATCCTCATCCTCATCATCGTCATCGTCATCATCGTCATCATCGTCATCATCAACAGTAGCATCAGCACCATCATCACCACCATCTTCATCATCAGTGGCACCATCATCATCAGCATCATCATCAGTATCATCAACACCATCCGCATTATCCTCATCGTCATCAGCAACCTCAGCATCATCGGCAGCAACAACATCGTCCCTGATCATCATCAGCATCATCATCAGCATCATCATCATCAGCGTCATCATCATCGTCATCATCAACATCCTCATCATCATCAGCATCATCATCTTGATCATCATCATCATCAGCATCATCATCATCATCGCCGTCATCAGCAACAATACCAACCTCGTCAGTATCACAAGAACCACCACCACCATCATGCCCGTCGTCGTCATCATCATCATCAGCAACATCAGCAGCCTCATCCGCATTATCATCATCACCATCAGCAGCAGCATCAGCATCAGCCTTATCATCAGCGGAATCAGCATCATCAGCAGCATCATCAGCATCATCATCGGCATCATCATCATCGTCATCATCGTCATTGTCATCGTCATCATCGCCATCAGCTGCAATAACAGCATCATCACCACCACCATCGTTATCACAAGCCCGTCATCATCAGCAGCAGAATCAGCAAGCATCACCATCCTCGTCGTCAACAGCACGGTCAGCGCCATCACCAGCAGCAGCAACAACAGCACGCGCGGCGTCAGCATCCCTCATCATCAGCATCACCACCAGCATCATCATCAAACTACATAGAATCGTCTTCGTCAGCGTCGTCATCATCATCATCATCATCATCGTCATCAGCAGCAGCATCATCATCAGCATCATCAGCATCATCAGCAGCCGAATCACAGTCAACAATAGGATCCTCATCATCAGCATCATCAGCCGCAGCAGCAGCATCATCACCATCGTCATCATCATAATCATTATCATCATCATCGTCATCATCATCACCACCATCATCAGCATCATCATCATCATCATCATCATCATCATCTTCAGCATAAGCATCATCATCCTCAACCCCGTCATCATCAGCAGCAGCACGATTATCATCAACATGGTCAGAATCGATATGAACAACAACACCATCATCATCCTCATTACCATCAGCATCGTCCACATCATCAGCATCAGCGTGACCATCACCATCACCAGCATCATCATCGCCAACCCATCATCATCAGCAGCAGCATCATCACCATCGTCATCAGCACCGTCAACATCATCATCGCCATCATCATCATCATCATCATCAGCTGCATCACCAGCATCATGATCACCATCATCATCTTCAAAACAATTATCGTAATCATGATCATCGTCACAACCATCACCACCACCACCATCAACCATATCAGCATCATCATCATCCGCAACATCATCATCATCGTCGTCCTCAGCTTCAACAGCATCATCATCATCATCAAAATCATAATCCTCATAATCATCAGCATCGTCATCATCATCCTCATCATCGTCATCATCACCGTCGTCGTCATCATCAACGGCATCATCAACATCATCGTAGTCATCATCCCCACCATCAGCATCATCATCAGCATCCACATCAGCATCAGCATCATCATCATCAGTATCAGCATCCGCATCATCATCACCACCACCCCCATCTCTCATCCTCCTGTTCCTCCTCCAACTCCTCCTCGATTCCTTCGCCTTATAAATAACTTATCCCTGTTGCAACCCGAGGCCACTTTTTAGGGCGGGCTGGGCGTTTCGTCCGAGACGTCCTCACCAATTGTGACTCTGAAGCGTAAAAATTGGCAACTGATTCACAAATGGAGTGCGGGTGGTTTGAAAAATGTGGCTCTCGCCTTAGCGCAGCGCACATTTGTCATAACAATTTGCAGGAGCTTCACGGATGGAGGATAAATCGTTTTCAACCTGTGGCTATCGCCTTATCGCCGCACACATTCGTTGTAAACATTCGCAAGAGTTTCACGGGTTGAGGGCGGTTCCTTTTCAAAATGTGGCTCTCGCCTTTGCGCCGCGCACATTCGTTCTAAGAAAATGGCAGAGTTTCCCGGATTGAGGGCGGGTGGTTTTCAAAATGTGGCTCTCGCCTTAGCGCCGCGCACATTCGTTCTAAAGATTTGCAAGAGTTTCACGGACTCCCACGATCAACGTACCAAAAATTGTGTTTTGGAAGGTTTCAGCATTGCGGGTGCAACAGTTACGTTGATTCGCGGTGTTGAAATCCCAAGGATGGTGTTCTGGCACGATCCAAAATCTTCAAGACGCAACAGTCAGGTTGATCCGTGGCGTTGAAATCCCGAGAACAATGTTTGGGCATGCTTCCGAGTCTTCAAACGGCTGTCTTCCAACGAGGCAGACCCCTCAATGGAAATAAAACCGTTGTAGGGGCCAATGAAGAGGGAGCTTGGAGGGAGGGTTAATTCCAACAACGTTGATGACTCTTGGGTTTACGCTGGTCCTCCTCCTCCTCCTCACCCTCCTCCTCCTCCTCCTCCTCCTCCTCCTCCTCCTCCTCCTGGTCCTCCTCCTGGTCCTCCTCCTGGTCCTCCTCCTGCTCCTCCTCCCCCCCTCCTCCTTCTCCTTCTCCTCCTCCTCCTCCTCTTCCTCCTCCTCCTCCTCCTCCTCCTCCTCCTGCTCCTCGTCCTCCTCTCCTCCTCCGATGGCTCCGCCGTACCCCCACAGCCAAGAGGGGGGCCCGGGGGGGTCGGGGGCGGCCAGCGCTATGGGCGGCCCGCGCGCGGCTCCCCGCCCCAGGCTACCCCCCCCCCGGGGCCCCGCGAGAGGCGGAGGCGCCAAGGCTGGGTCCCGTTCGAGCCACAGGAAGGGGGGGGGGCACGACAGCGAAGGGTGCGACCGCATGCGCGTGCAGCAGAAAGAAGAGAGAGGAAGACGAGTTGGGGGAGAAGGGGGAGGTGGCGCTCATCCTCGGCGACCTCTCCCTCCCTCAGCCTCTCCCCGGCCGCCCTCCCCAGCTCCACAGCCTCGTCCTGCATGAGGCCAACCGGGAGAGCGGCATTGGCAGCGCAGGAGGGGGGCGGAGGGAGGAGGGGGGCGGAGCGGGGGGGGAAGGGAGGGTATGGTCGGGAGGGCGACCAGCGGCAGAAGAGTGAGGAGGAGGAGGAGGAGGAGGAGGAGGAGGAGGAGGAGGAGGAGGAGGAGGAGGAGGGAGGAGGAGAGGGAGGAGAGAGGGGGGAGGAGGGCGGAGGAGGGCGGAGGAGAGGAGGGCCGAGGGGGGAGGAGGGCGGACGAGGGAGGGACGGGGGGGGGCAGAGAGCATGGCGCGCCCCATGCCGAGACGTCGGCCCGGGTGTCCGGTAGGCTTCAGACTCAGACCCAGACTCAGGCAGCGGGGCGTCACCGCAGAGGCCGTGCGCAAAACACGTGTTGCTTTTCTTCGTCGGCGGCGAGGCAGAGTTGGCTGCACCAGCGCCAGAGCCAGACGGGGGCACCGAACAGCGAACTGGCCAGCGTGCAAGAGCGGGGAGAGGGCAGAAGGGGTGGCCGCGGAGGGGGGGGGAGAAAGGGCCACTCGAAACGAGCGTGCGCCAAGAGAATAAAAAACTGAACATACAAACCGATACGGACCACGCCCAAACGCTCGCCGCGCCGCGCCGTGGGCCACGCTTCTCGCTGGCCTGGCCCAGGAGCCCCAGAGCGAGCCCTCAGGGCGCGCTCGGGCCTGCACGCCCGCATCGGCGTCGCCGCCGCGTCGAGACGGCGCGAGGCCGGCGAGAGATGACCGAAGGGGGGGGGAAAGGAGGGGCCAGGAGAAGGTCGGGCATTGCCTCCGACATGCGGATTTTGGAAGAACGAGAAAGAAGAGTCAAAACACATCCAACAATGTCTAAACATAGTCGAGAAAGCGTCCCCCGACTACGTTTGACTGTTCTTGAACATTACTCCTGTAGTGGGACATGCCCGACTTAAGGACAGGAGGCGCGACCTTTCCTTCGCTCGACTGCTCTGCACTCGCGCGTCACTCGCCAGGGATGTCCCGCAGCGTGCCTCAGGATCGGCAGCCGCGTCGCCCCTCCTCCCTCCCCCCCTCGAGGGAGCAGGAGGTCGAGAGGAAGGAGGAGGGAGGAGGGAGGAGGGAGGGAGAGAGGGACGGAGGGAGGGAGGGAGCAGAGAGTAGGGAGGAGAGCGGGGAGAAGTGAGGAGGAGGTAAAGGAAGGAAGGAAGGAAGGAAAGAAGGAAAGAAGGAAGGAAAGGAAGGAGAGAAGGAAGGAAGAAAGGAGGAAGGGAGGGAGGAAGGGAATGACAGAACAAAGGCAGAAGGGAGAGAGGGAGGAGGAAGGCAGAAGGAAGCGGCAGGAAGGAGAGAGAGAGGGTGAGGAGAAAAAGTAAGAGGAGGGTGAGGCAAGAAAGAATGCCAGGATAAGGAGGCCACGGGGCAGGATGAGGTCTGACAGTAGCAACCTGCCCTAGGCCTGCTCAGGAGGTGCCTCGGGCTCCAGCTCCATGCCCGTGCTGAGGAGAACGATGCTCTGAATGGCATCAACCACAGGGGGCAAAGTCACAGCCAGCACGACTCGAGACACCGACCCCATCTTTCCCAGCAGCAAGTCTACAGCCCAAGCATAGCCAGCATTGTACACCAGCAACAAGCGTACCACGAAGAACGCCGAGGTGGTGAAAACCATGCCCGCTACAAACAGCACTTTCGTCGTCATGCTGCCGTGGTTAAAGTATTTCGTTTGCAGTGTGTTCCCGAGCCACACATTCGGCAAGAAAGTCACGAGCGCCATAGTGTATAAGGAGACTGCTGTGACAGTATGGCAGAATTCATCGCCCGATGCAAGAAAGATCTGCCACCACGTCTCGTGGTTTCTGAAGGACTGCGGCCTTCCGAAGCTGGCCCTCTAGACAGGGTGTCAAAGCCTTGGCCTCCGATGACCAAAGCTCGCCTCGAAAGCCCGCCCGAAGCATCCCAAGAAGTCCCCGAGAGACCAAAACATGCTGTTTGCACTTTCACTTTTTCTCCCAGCCCGCGGGACCTTGCCTTCTTCGTCCTGGAGGGACCCACGAGGGCCCCCTGAGGACCTCAAGAGGGACCTCAAGAGGAACCTCACCGGGCCCTTCGTAGCCCCAAAAGGGCCCCAAGAGATCCCCGGGAAGCTCCTGATAGGCCCCAGGAGGGGCCCAGAGAATGGGTCCAAGAACGGTCCCTGGCGACACGATCTGAAGATCCGCCCCCTCCTCCGTAGCCCCAACAGGCAAGAGATCGCCAGGAAGCTCCCGAAAGGCTCCAGGGGAGGTCCAGAGAGGGGCCCCCATGAACGGGCCCCAACAGCACCAAGATGGCCCCAGACTCCATCACCGCCCAAGATGGCCTTAGGTCGGGCATGCCCCCCCACAGGCGGATTCTGGACAAAAATGACAAATACTCTAAGAATGCTCAGAAATCCTCAAAAATACTTGTTTAAAAAATCATCCCCAGACTAGTTTTGACTATTTTTGAATATTCCTCCTGTAGAGGGACACGCCCAACTTGAAGATGGCCCCAGACTCCCCCGACAGGGCCCCCGGGAGGGGCCCCAGAGGCCCCCGAGAGAGGCCCCCAGGGGCGAGGTCGATTGCACACTCCCCAGCTGCGCAGTCCGCTGCGGTGGCCAGGAGCAGGATTCGGAGCAGGAGGCCATCGCCTGCATCGATGGATGGACGCGTGAGAAAGGGAGGGGACAGGAGGGAAGGAAGAAGGAGGGAGGGAGGGGGCAGGGAGGGAGGGGAGGGGAGGGAGAGAGGGAGGGGGAGGGGGAGGGGGGAGTGAGGAAGAGTGGGAGAGACGACCCAGTGGCGGGATGGGCCGAAGACCGCTGGATGGCTATGTTGTCCATCATGGCGGACACCATGAAGTAGATGGTGAGCCCAACGCCCTCTGTCTGGATGAAAATGCAGCCAGCGAGCGCCAAATCCATACCGTACGTCGCATTTTGCATGCTTTGCGTCAACTCGGGGTACTCGCTGTATGGGCTCCGCCCCGTGAACGGTGCCGACAACCCCTGCGCGCCGTGACGAATCCGCCAAACGCGCCACAGCAAGATCAGGCCGATGACGCAGTAGCGCAAGAAGGTCCACGCGGCCAGCTGGGAGTTCTCCCACGCGCAGAGCGTGTCTGCCTCGTCACCAAAAGTAGCCATCAGCGCATCATCCTGCCCCTGCAAGAGGTACATTTATTTCTTGGGAGGCGGCTCTGAATCCGCGCAGGCCGCCCACCCTTGTGCCAGGCACAGGGCAGCAGCTCTTGGACCAAAATATTAGCAACATACTTTCGGCCCACTCTACACAAGGTACAGGCAGCGAAAACGAGTCAAGAAGAATGGTATTACTTCAGGTATCGTCGCATGTACGGTCGGACAAGGTGTTACGCACTCGCGTCTCGCGCGCGTCATGTGAATGATGTGTTTCGTGCTGCGTATCCGCATGCTGCAGCTGCAAGCTAACGTGATTGCAGATTGTACACTGGATCGTTGCATCTGGTCGCTTGCATGCTACATGTAAGACCTCTGCATGCTGCGAGGAGAGCATGCGACTCAGCTGCACGAAAGATTGTAAAATAACAAACAAGCACTAAAAACACGCGTGGCACTTGCGCTTGGAAATTAGCATTAACATCGTCACCAAAACCCAAGACACTCCCAACCACAAGGCCGTAATTCCGAACAACAGGTGGAGGTTTTCAGAGTTATAGGATGGTAAGACCGCTGAGATTTAGAGTCTAGCTGCGATCTGGTGGCGCTGGTGGCGACCGCGTTGGCGAGATGGCAGTGGCGATGGCGGCAATGCTCGTTCAAACACATCCTCCCAGTCAGCGAAACAGAAAGATGCCAAGCACCAGGACGCCTGCGAGTGCCACTGCAGATCGGAAAACTGCCACACCGTTGAAAGAGACGCCTCGCATGGTGCCGTGCCCTGGACTGGGCGAAGAAAATGGTCAATGGTGCTATGTCTCTACCTCTCCATGCTGCCCACCTCCTGCTGGAGCTCGCCGCCCCGCCAGTAAACGGTGAGCAGCAGATGGCATCGATCTTGACAGTCCGATGCAACGCCTCAGTCGGAGCAGGAGCTGCCCCTGGACCAACCCCAACTCGCTTGGAGAGCATGGCGCATGTTACCTGAGCTCCTCACTGGTCGCGCTTCCCCTTATAAAATGTGTCGACGTCCGCGGCGTACTGCTGCATGAGCAGCTCTCCCTGCAGCTGCCGCCAGGTGTCCGCAGCCACGCCCACGAGGATTAGCAGGGACGTCCCCCCGAAGGAGTTGGGCGTGCTCAGCTGCGTCAGGTTCTCGATGGCGTTGGGTAGCACAAAGAGCACGGCGAGGATGACGCCGCCGAAGACGGACTGGCGCTCGAGAACGCCCTTGATGTACTCTTCGGTCTCCTTCCCTGGCCTCACCTGAGGAATGGCGGCTGCCTGCTTGCGCAAGACCGTGGACATGTCCTTCGGATCGAGCACTTGGAAGGTGGAGATGTAGGAGAAAACAAAGATCAGGGCACAGCTCAGCGGGATGTACAGATCGCTCCCAGGCAGCAGGTTCTTCGCAATCGGTTGGAGCCAGGGGACCTGCGATGAGCAAAAAACAATATACTCGACACAAGGATCCGCATATGTGATACATCGCCTAGCGCTTTCCGTTCTGAGTGTCTGAGTATGATGGGTCTGAGAAAGAGCGAGTCTGAGTACGGGCGGCTGACTACGAGCGAGTGTGGGTGGGACTGAGTAGAAGTAGAAGTGGCTGGATGTGAGTGGCTCTGAGTATGAGCGGGTCTTGCTGTGCATAGGTTTAACATGAATTAGTCTGGGCGTGAGTGAGTTTGAGTGTGAGTGGATACAAATATGAGCGTCTGAAATAAAACGTCTCAATGAGATTGGGCCAGTGTATGAGTAAGGACATGATACGCTATGAGTGGGTGTGTTTGCGTATGAGCGCATGGATGTACATGGGTATGGGTGCGCGTGAACCTGGCAGCGCATGGCTGAATGTGAAGCAATCGGGGTATGCGCGGGCTTGACTGCGAATGGACCGCAAAATGAGTAAGCCTGAGCATGATTGAGAGGGTCCTGAAATCTGGGTGCCCGGGAGGTCCTGACAACCTGCGGCGCGAACGGGCCTGTGTCAGACATCCTGGCGGCTGCCCCGTCCCCACAGTGAGCCGGCCCGTGTCATACCCCCTGGCGGCTTCCATACGGGAGGCCCGAATGCCGTGCCTGCTGCATCGCGATGATCAGAAGGCTCTGAACAGAAACGCGCGCACTTCAGACAACGACAAAAAGAGCGGTTCGCCTGAGAGGTCCCCGCAATCTGGGCGCGATCGGGCCCGTCTCGTACCCCCTTGCAGCCTCCCCTTGGGAGGCCTAAATACCATACCTACTGTTGATTTAGAACGAGATCTTAAGTGTGAGCCAGTGTGAGTGCTTCAGGATATCAGTGTTTTGACTGCAAAAAACCGAACCGAAGTCGGCGTGTGTTCGAGTCTGAGTACGAGCGATTTCTGAGCATGGGAAGGAGAAGGCGCGATAAAGGATGAGACTGCGGCGGGTGCGTGCCATCAACTGCCAGAGTACGGTACTGAGGATGAGAGCTGAACCCGAACTTGGGAGCAAAGTCTGCGCCTGAGTGAATTCTGTTTGAGCGAATATGAGTGTGAGTGAGTCTGGAGTGAATCTGAATCTGAGCGAATACGAGTGTGAGTCCGATTGAGTGCGAGTCGGTCTGAGTTGGGTAAGTCTGAGTTTGAGTGAGTCTGAGTGTGAGTGAGTCTGGGTAGAGGAGGGAGGAGGAAGGTGAGGGAGGAGGAACAGGCGGTGGCAACAAAAGCACATACTCATGATACGAGGAACGAACATAAGCTTTCGGAAGTCCGCGCGCCAGGAAGTCAAGCGCCAACCCAAGAAATCCGCGCGAACCTCCGAAAGGTTATGCGCATGTCGTGCTTTGTTGTTCGAGGCCTTGGTGTAGTTTGCGGCGAGGGCCGGCAGCGACAGGAGAGAGCCCGCGAAGATGAGGGGCAGGACGCCCGAGGCGTTCAGCTTGACGGGCAGATAGCTCTCGCCCGCATCGCCGGTGCCCCCTTGCGGACAGCCAGATAGTTACACGCAGAGCTCATCCTCGTCGTCGTTCTCCCCGTCCTCCTCCTACTCCTTAATCGTCCTCCTCCTCCTCCTTCTCCTCCTCCTCCTCCTCCTCCTCCTCCTCCTCCTCCTCCTCCTACTCACCACCAACACAACCACCACCACCACCACGACCATCATCATCATCATCATCATCATCATCATCATCATCATCATCATCATCATCATCATCATCAGCATCAGCATCAGCATCAGCATCAGCATCAGCATCAGCATCAGCATCATCACCATCAGCATCATCAGCATCATCAGCATCATCACCATCACCATCACCATCATCATCAGCTTCAGCATCAGCATCAGCATCAGCATCATAATCATCATCATCATCATCATCATCATCATCATCATCATCATCATCATCATCGTCATCATCATCATCATCATCATCATCATCATCACCAGCATCATTATCATCATCATCATCATCAGCAGCATCATCATCATCATCTTTATCATCATCAGCATCATCATCATATGTATAATCGTCATCGTCATCATTATCATCATCATCCACAACATCATAATCAGCATTATCTTCATGGTTATGATCATCATTACCATCATCATCAGCAGCAGCAGCATCCGCATCAGCATCAGCATCTCCTCCTCATCATCATCATCACCATCACCATCACCATCATCATCATCATCATCACCACCACCACCACCATCATCACAACCATCACCACCACCAATATCACCATCATCACAACCATCACCACCAACACCATCATCATCATCATCACCAGCATCATCATCACCATCAGGATTATCATCATCCTCATCATCAACAACACCATCATCATCATCATTAGCATCACCATCATAATCATCATCGTCATCATCACCACTATCATCATCATCACCATCACCAGCACCATCATACCATCACCAGCACCATCATCATCACCACCACCACCATCATCACCATCATCAGCACCATCACCACCAACACCATCATCATCATCATCATCACCATCATCATCATCACCATCATCATCATTACCACCATCATCATCACCATCACCACCACAACCATCATCATCATCGCCATCATCAACATCATCATCATCATCATCATCGTCACCATCATCATCATCGTCATCATCATCATCATCATCATCATCATCATCATCATCATCATCATCATCATCATCATCGCCAGCACACTGTGCTTTCCAGTGTGGTGCTTCCAGAATCTCGGCCCACCACCGGGTAAAGGCGAAGGTGGCCTTACGCCATATCACTCCAAGCAGCCATAATCCTCCTCTTCAACTCCCTCCTCCGCCTCATCCTGATCCTTATTTTTCTCCTCCATCACCTTCTCCTGTTCCTCCCTTCCCCTGTCCACCCAGTGCGTTTCGGCCCTGTGTCTCCTGACCCAACGGACTGCGTGTGAGAAGTGCGTTTCGGTCCTCAGTCTGCTGACCCAACGAACTGCCTGTGAGATGTGGTGTGTCGGTTATGTGGTAACCAACAACGGGCTGCCTGTGAGATGGGGTGCGTCGGCTATGTGGTAACCAGCAAGTCCGAAGGCCAAAACGCCCAGTGCGTTTCGGCCCTGTGTATCCTGACCCAATGGACTGCGTGTGATAAGTGCGTTTCGGCCCTGCGTCTCCTGACCCAACGGACTGCCTTTGAGATGTGGTGTGTCGGCGATGTGATGTAACAACGGGCTGCCTGTGGGATGGGGTGCGTCGGCTATGTGGTAACCAACAAGTCCGAAGGCCAAAACGCCCATCCCCAAGGCGAAACTTGTTTCCTTTTGGGCCCGGAACGACGGTTTGAAGTCTTGAGCAGACGCGCATGAGACAACCGCGCGGATCCGAATGTGGCGTTGGTGTTTGTTTCGGTGGATCCGATTTCCGTCCGCGCGGATCCGACTTCGGATTTACTGGATCCGTGTTCGGTCTTATTTGTTTACGGCGGATCCGATTTCTACCCCGTTTAAACTTTATACTACTACATGAAAACGGGAAAAAGGAGGGAATCGGATCCGCGGACCCCGGAACCCGCCCGTGTTAACACTCTACGGGTGAAGGGGGTTCGGTCTTTAACTTCAAACTCATCATCGCCATTCGCACCTCAATAGGAAAATCTTTCGTCCTGCGTAAGTATGGGGGCACGAAACGCTGCACTGGGCGGGGGAAACGCATGCGAGTGCAGCCACTTGGGCCCTTCGGTGGAACTCTCTGTGGGGCCACGAAACGCTGTATTAGGTGGGGAAGCCGCATGCGGACACCGCAACTGAGGCCTTCGGTGGAGCGCCATATGAGGCCACGAAAAGCTGTACAGCGTTGCGACCCGCATGCGAAAGCAGCCACTGGGGCCTTCGGTGGAGCTCCCTGTGGGGCCACGAAACGCTGTACTAGGCGGGGGAACCGCATGCGAGCGCAGCTACTGGGGCCTTCGGTGGAGCTCCCTACGGGGCCACGAAACGCTGTACTGTGTGGGGGAACCGCATGCGAGTGCAGCCATTGGGGCCTTCGGTGGAGCTCCTTATGGGGCCACGAAACTCTGTACAGCGTGGGGGTCCCGCATGCGAGTGCAGCCACTGGGGCCTTCGGTGGAGCTCCCTATGGGGCCACGAAACTCTGTACAGCGTGGGGGTCCCGCATGCGAGAGCAGCCACTGGGGCCGTCGGTGGAGCCCCCTATGGGGCCACGAAACGCTGTACAGCGCGTGGGTCCCGCATGCGAGAGCAGCCACCGGGGCCTTCGGTGAAGCTCCCTATGGGGCCACGAAACGCTGTACTGGGTGGGGGGACGCATACTGATGAGGGCAGAGGCAAGAAGGGGGAGGAGGAGAGGAGAAGAGACGCTGGGACTCTCTACAAAACGAATACCCAATTACAGAATGGCTGGGAAAAACCGGGCGCGAGCCCCGGGAAGAGCACTTGAATGAAGCCACTTGAGAGTGGATCAACAATAAATTTGATTTAGAGATGAAAGTTCAACAAGCTGCTGCCATCACAATGCCTGAGAGCAATACACTGCCCTGCGAACAACACAACGTGCTTGCGAATACCAGCACCGCACGCATGAACAACAGTACGCCTGACCCCGCCAGTGCCAAAACCCAGCGAGCACCACTAGCTGCTTGCGAGCTCCACGTTGGCCTGCGAGCACGCGCGCGCAAGTACCACACTGTTCACGCGAACAACATCAGCGAAACACCGATGCACAAAGTATGCCCGATCTTGCCAGCAACACATTGACCCGCGGGTTGCCCACCATGCCTGTGAGCACTACGAAAGTCTGCGAGCACCACAACGTGTCCATGTATAACACAACGCGCGCGTGTTTGCCCATGACTCCCTCCGGCCGCCTGAGGCCCCGCCCGCCCGCGCCCTGTCTCCCCAATTAGTGTTTTGCGCGGCCCGCCTAGCTCTCAACCGGAAGAGGCTCGCTCTCGACCCGCAGACCAAAAAGTTCGCCAATGACAGCAACAACCAAAAACGCGAATGCACAACATCATGCCAGATCCTGCCAATGGTGCAATAGCCTGCGAGCGCCACAGTTCGCCTGCGACCACAATAGGAACCTGCGAAAACCGCAGCGTGACTGTGAGCGCCACGCGTCTGTGAACCGTCGCCGCGCCCCTCTCTCGCGACGCGGGCTCGCGGCGCTGCGGCGCCCACGAGCTGGCTCTGGAGCCGCCGTGCTGGAGGCTGCGCCCCGCACGCGTGCATGCGTGCATGTGCCTGTGGTGTTCTCGAAACGCCGCTGACGGCTCCACCACCGGCTTTCTTCCTCCCGGGACTTCACCACCGGGCTCCTGTCCAAGGTGTACCTTTTCCTGCACGTCCACTTCGGCACCGCCTGATCCCCGGGCCCCGCCCGCTCCTGGCCGCGTGAGGCCCCGCCTTCCTCCGCCCTTTCCTCTGCTAATTGAAGCTGTGCGCGTCCCGCTTAGCTTTCAGCGGAAGAGGTTCGCTCTCGCCCTCCAGATCAAAAAAGTGCGTCTGTGTGTGTGTGCCTGTGTGCACGGTCGCGCGCGCGCGCGCGCGCGCGCGTCCAAAAGCGCCAGCGCACGTTTTCTGGCAGAGCCACTGCGACTCTTGCTCTGCGACTTCGTCGCCAATGCCCCGCTGCGCACCACCCATACGGCTTAGCCACCATAGGTGCCAGCCTTCCTTTTGCGCCCCGCCCTTGTGACACGTGTCGCGCCTTTAGATCGGCTCTCGCGGCAGCCTCGCGACTTCCCAGATGGTTGTCGCGTGTTGTCTGGCTCTCTCCGATAGCCGTTGCAGATCGGGTGCACCACGGCCCGAGTCTTCGCATGCGGCGACACCGCCGTGCTGCCGTTCGGGCAGCTGCGCGACTCTCGCGCTCAGCTGCTTGATTCCGCGAAGTGTATCCTGGTCAGCTGTATTTTCCACATCTGCGGGGATGGCGGCGTCTGATAGTTCAAATGCACGGCCCTGGTCTGCATTGTTGACCGATCTCTGTCGTGCCGGTTTGTCGCGACCGCGCGTCTCCTCGCGTTGGCATTTCTACCTTCGCACTCTCCCATTTTTACCTGCGGTGGCGGCGGCGGTTGGGTGGTCGACCCTCCGCTCGTCGGTGCCATGCCAGTCGCACATTGCAGCTGCGGCGGAGCTCTCGCGGCGCAGCGTTTACTTAGTTTGATTTTCGCCCGCGCCTGACCCTTGGTCGGGGCGGCTGCTCCCTCGCTTGTCAATGCCGGCGGGTGTCTGGCTGGGTGGCTGACTCACCGCGCCAGTTGTGCCTTATCGGTTCGTAGGTTAACACCCCACCAATGCCTTCTCGGGCCGTGCTGGGTCAGCGCTTCATTTCGCTCATCGGCTGGTCTGGCAGCTTCTGCTGTTTTGGTTGCGCTTCATTGTCCAGCACAGTCCTTCGGTGAGTCAGCGGCCGCCAATTCGCACCAGACTGCTCACGCTTCAATGTACTTCGAGTTGAGTAGCCTCCTC